AGAAAAACAACCTGATTCTTAAAATGGGCAAAAAACCTGAAGAGATACCTCATCGAAGAAGATATAACACAGCAAATAAGAACATGCAAAGATGCCCAATTCCACATCATTATGAAATTGAAAATGAAATAATAAGATCCTCCTACATACCCACCAGAATGGCTAAAATCCAAATACTGACAACATTAAATGCTGGTGAGAACATGGAGCAACAGAAACTCTCGTTCAGTGCTGGCGGGAATGCAAAATGGTACAGACATGTTGGAAGACAGCTTCACAGTGCCTTATAAAGCTAAGCATACTCTAACCGAACCATCCAGCAAACACATTCCCAGGTATTTACCCAAATGAATGGAAAGCTTATATCCATACAAAAACTTGCACACATATTCATAATAGCTTTATTCCTAATTGTCAGAAGTTCAGAGTAACCAAAATGCCCTTGAATAGGAAAACGGATAAAGCAGCAGTGTTACATTCACACACTAGAGTATTGCTCAGTAATCGTAAAAAATGAGCTATCAAGCCACAAAAAGACATGGAGGAGTCTGAAGTGTGTATTACTGAGTCAAAGAAGCCAGTCAGAAGACGCTACATACTATATGATTCCAACTATAGGACATTTCGGAAAAGACCAAATTCTAGGGAACAGAAGATGAGGGGGAGCAGAGAGGACTTTTAGGACACCACTACTCTGTGTGGCGACATAACGATGGGTGCAGGACATCACACATTCAGCAAAATCTGCAGCGTGTACATCACCAGGAGTGAGCCTGGGTGTAAACTATGGACATCGTTAATTATAAAGCATCATTACTGGTTTATCAATTGTAAAAAACATAACAAACCAAAGTAAGATATTAACACTAGAGGAAAATGAGGGGGAGGAAGTATATAACTCAATAAACTTGCTCAATTTTTCTGTAAAATTAAAACTGCTCTAGACAAACGAGGTCTATTATTCTAAAAAAGATTGCTGGGCATGGTGGCTCACACTTGTAATCCCAGCACTTTGGGAGGCCAAGGCAGGCAGATCACTTGAGGTCAGGAGTTGGAGACGAGCCTTGTCAACATGGTGAAACCCTGTCTGCACTGAAAATACAAATATTAGCCGGGCGTGGTGGCGGGTGCCTGTAATCCCAGCTACCTGGGAGACTGAGGCAGGAGAATTGCTTGAATCCAGGAGATGGAGGTTGCAGTGAGCCAAGATCACGCCACTGCACTCCAGCCTTGGCGACAGAGGGAGACTTAGCTTCAAAAAGAAAAAAAAAAAAAAAAAAGATTGGTGTATAGCTATATGCTAACTTCCCAAAAGAAGATAAACTTTTTAAAAAGTCACTAAAAAAGTCAATGTCATAAAATGAAAGGCAAGAGGAACTAAAAAGGCATGAGGAACAGATGTAGTGCATGAACATTAATTAGATTCTGGGTCCACAACAAAATCAACAAGTAAAAAAATGCCTACTAATTTAGTGCACATTTTGCAAACACTTGGGAAAATATGGACATGGACTCTATAGTAAATGACACAGAACTGATGTGCCATTTCTTCAGCAATTTGATGGTACTGTGGTGATACAGAAAGCCATCTTCGTTCTTAGTGTCAGGATGTCTGCATCTTTCAAATGGTTCAGGGGACAAAAAAAAGTGTCAAAGTGGCAACAGGTGAACAGTATAAAGGTATTCATCCTACTGTTCCTTCCATCCTCTGGAGGGTCAACGATGGTAAAAGTTGGGTCTGAAAAGACTCATAAAAGGTACATCAACTCCTCGTAAGAATAATCAACAAGAAAAGAGAGAGGGCACAAATACCCAGCACCAAGAGCAAAGGCAGGCACCTCACTCACAGATACCCCTGATACTGGTGAGTTTCTGAAGGGGTATTGTGAGCCAGTTTATGTCAACACATCGGGAAGCTTAGGAGAAACAGACGAGGTCCTACAGAAGTCAGCTGACAAAGCTAACAGAAAAACCCTTTAACCATGAAAGAAGCTAGATCAGTAGTCAAAAACCCTCCACAAACAAAGGAACACCCCAGAGAGCTTTCTTTGTAAGTTCCACAACATTCAGACAACAAATACTTCAAATATCACAAGAACTATTCCAGTATATATACAAAGAATGAACTTCCTCAACTTACTTTCTAAGGCCACAGTTATTGATCACTCCGCCTAGGCAAGGACAGCAAGAGAAAAAATTCCTGGCCAATCTCACTCATGAACACAGATTTAATACATGAAACAAAATGGCTGCAAACGGAATAAGCCATGCACAAAACGCATCGTTCATCGTAACACAGGTTACCCCAAAAAGAAAGGTGTGTGTAACAGGAGACGGTCAGACAATATCATTCAACGTAGCACGAGCCTAAGGGAGAAAAGCCCTGTGATCACCTTAACACACATACAAATAACCAAGAGAGGCAAATCAACATCTAGTCCTGATTTTTTTAAAAAACCAAATCAAGAATTGAACTTTCTTAATTGGATAATGGTGATTGTTTTTGTTTTACAAAAAGCCTGGGGCAAACATCTTACACTGAACACAGGAGCTCCCCAACCCTGCCCCGCGCCCCTCCACCCAGTCCCCACTTCACTCCACTGAAGGCATGGGCCAGCACAGCAAGATGAGAACAAAGAAAAAGCACAGCTGAGAGTGGGGCACAGTGGGTCACACTGTAATCCCAACACTTTGGGAGGTCAAGGCGGGAGGATTACTTGGACTCAGGAGTTCAAGATCAGCCTGGGCAACATGGTGAGACCCTGACTCTATAAAAAATACAAAAATTAGCCAGGTGTGGTGGTGCACACCTGTAGTCCCAGCTACTTGGGAGGCTGAGGTAGGAGGAACGCTTCAGCCCAGGAGGCAGAGTTTGCAGTGAGTCATGATCATGCCACTGTACTCTGGCCTGGGTGACAGAGTGAGATCCTGATTCAAAAAAAAAAAAGTTTGGTTCTGTAAGTTACCAGAAGTGGAAGAAGAAGAGGAAGAGGAAGAGGAAGAGGGAAGAGGGAAGAAGAAGGAAGAAGAAGGAAGAAGAAGAAGAAGAAGGAGGAGGCGGAGGAGAAGAGGAGAAGAAGAAGGAGGAGGAGGAGGAAGAGGAGAAGAAGAAGGAGGAGGAGGGGGAGGAAGAAGAAGAAGACGACGATGACGACGACAAATCACATCATAAATTCAGAGAAGAGAGACACAATTCATAAAAATCATTACTGTCTGGAATACAAAGAATTCCCTCAAATTGACAGTAAAGGGCAAGCCACTGCAGAGAGAAGTGGACAGCATACAGGTGCTTCATGCAGCAGGGAGCCAGCGGACGGACACAGGGTGCTCGACCTTAATGGTTATCAGAGGAAATCAGAGCACGATACAGTCTATCATTAGAAAAACCTGTGACACACCCAGTGCTGGAGAGAAAGCTGGGCAGCTGAAACACCCACGCGGTTTATATCATTAGAAAAACCTGTGACACACCCGGTGCAGGAGAGAAAGCTGGGCAGCTGAAACACCCATGCGGTTTACAACAGAAACAAGATGGGAACCAGCCCAGTGCCCATCTGCAGGGAAGGCACTGAGAAGGGCGGGGTCCCGGCAGGGGACAGCGAGTGTGGGAAGAGGCAGGGCTGCAGGCCCCTGGGGTTGGGGGCACGAACCTGCAGAGCCTCCAACCGAGTGAGCAAAGCGCACTGCGGAAGAGCGCGCCAGCGTCCGCCCAGCACATCAGCAGCGAGCTCCCGGATTCGCCGTGCCTGAGAGCCAGCACACTGGGGGCTCCACAGAGAAGTGCCAGGGAAGGATGAACTCAAATTCACTGTGCCAGGCGCCACCGTGGAGGACAGGGAAAGGAGAGACTGCAGCTGAGAAAGACACACCAGGGGCCTGTGGTGCATGCCTGGTGGTTCATTCCATCCCGCTTCCGTAAATTCTACTTCCTTCACAATGACCGCTTCGAATTTACCCAATATTGAATGAAAGGAATTAAAATCAAGCTGGTGTCCAGATACACACGGGGAGAGATGGCACTGCCCTGCAGGAGGAGCTGGGTGGACACCTTTCTAACTTCCGAGCCCGGCTACTCCTCAGTGTCCAGGGTTGGAAGCCTTCCTTGAGGTCTCTGCTCTGGGCCCACACTGCATCGCCACCTGTGCCGAATGCTAGCCACGAACATGGGACGGGGGGCGGGAACTGAGAGTTCAGTGTGTGAAGAAACAGAGTCCTCACTACGATGGCAGGAGGTGGTGTCCACACTAAGGAAGCGGAGGCCCAGGAGGCTGACAGCACAACCGAAACCGGAGGTCGGGTTTGCTGGATTCCAAATCAGTGCCCCCACAGACACGCTCAGGCACACATGGGGCCACTACACCCTCCTAAGAACTGCTTTTCGTGCATCATGCAGAGTGCAGTGAGACCCACAGCTGGCTGCTCTTGGACAGACCAAGGTTCCCACCCTGGAGGATGAGGACAACAGTCAGCACCCACCACCCACAGTAGTAGCTACAGAAGGGGAGCGAGCGCTTCATCTGGTCCTGGGCGACGGAATTGCAAAAGGCTGGCGATTCTGACCTTGGGGAGGGAAGCCTGGAGGCTGCACCTGCAGGGCAGCTTGGAATTAGCCCTTTAGAATATATAACACATTTAAGAAAATCACTGATGCTTAAAGAAAGATTCTAACGAAATTGAGAAATTGTGCAATTTTTCAAACTAGGAGGCAGACACTCCCGAGGTCCGTCCTCGGAGAATACAAACGACTGCTGTTCTGACAGAGGGAATGGAAACCACACGCACCATGCTTCAAGGCAGGCGTTCCATGAACATGTTCTGCCACAGAAACAGCTCCCTCCTTGTGCCTGATTACCTGGTCTGTTCAGTTACTGCCTTTGCGATTGGTGAAACACAGTAAAGATCGATGGCTTAACAGAAGCTACGGATGGGCAGGACCTGCTGCCGACCACCACAGCTGGCATGACTTCTGGTAGAAATGGGAAGTTGGAAGGCATACCCACCTTGTTGAAGACCCAGACCTCCCCGTTCACTGTGGGCCGGGGCACCCCGTGGCCATTGTAGTGAAAGAGGACTCGCTCCTCTTTGGCGTTGCGACGTAGGGACGTGCAGAGCTTCTTGACTTCATCCACAGTCGGGTCAAGGCTCTGCTTGTACCGGGCCTGTTGTAGGAGAAGAAATGAAGAAATTTACCATGGACTCCAGGGAATGCCTGGAACTCATCCCCTACTCTTTCCTCTAGGTTTGCAGTTAATAGCTGTGTGGTCCTGGACATATGGCTCAGTTTCTCCCTCTATAAAATCGGATAATGCCAGGCACCATGGCTCACACCGAAAATCCCAGCAGCTTAGGAGGCCAAGGTGGGAGAACTGGTTGAGCCTAGGAGCTCAAGATCAGCCTGGGCAACAGAGTGAGACCCCATCTCTACAATTAAAAACAAAAAAAGAGCCAGGTGTGGTGGCACACACCTGTAGTCCCAGCTGAGGTGGAAGGATCGCTTAAGCCCAGGAGGTTGAGCTTGCGTTGAGCCATGACTGCATCATTGTACTCCAGCCTGAGTGACAGCGTGAGACTGTCTCAAAAAACAAATCAAAATACTAGATAAAAACTGCCACACATGATGGTTATAAATATTCATTCAACAAACATTGAGAACTACCAGGAACATCAAAGAGATAAACAAGTAATGCCTGTCACATGGCCACACCAAGTCAAACACAGCTGCCACGGGGGTACCAAGTGTTTCGCAGAAGTATGGGGTCCTTCTGAAAACATCTGGAGCATGGAAGAGAGAATTTGCTCAAATGAAGGAACCTGCATTGTACACACGGCAGCAATGCACACATGACAGCAATGGCAGAAGAGTGAAGAGACCGAGTACGGAACTTCCCTGCTGAAAGCTCCTCCCTCCGCCTCCTGCCTGGGCCCTTCCGGATGCCTGTGAAGAATTCCCTGAATTAGCAGAACCTAAAGCTGACATAGAACTATCAATAGCCTTGATATATACAAATAATAAACAGAGGACATCATGGCAAAGAAAACCCCATCTAGAAAGCCACAGAGCAGACTGAACGCATAGGAATAAGTTCAACATGAAATGTGCAAAACATAGACATGGAAGTTTTTCAGAAATCTCCTAGAAAAATACAAGTAGACGTGAACAAATGGGAAGATGCTCCCTGCTTGCATCGACATTCTTAAGACGCCAGCTCTCGCTCGCTTAATTCACAAATTCAATGCATCCCAATAAATACCCCAAGGAGCTATTTCACGGAGTTTAACAAGCTGCTACTGAAGGTCACATGGAAAAACAAACAGGCAAGAAGGGCCAGAAAATCATGAGGGCGACCTGGCCTTGCCAGACACCGCAGGCTCCTCTAGGGCCTCTCATTAAGACAGCGACACTGGGGGCACGGAGACCAGCAGCCCAGGGAACTCACACACAAAGCACAGAATCAAGACCCACGTACACACGACTTGGCTTTCTTGAGAACAGTGTCTACATAGTCCTAATGCTATGAATGCTGATTTTATTTTAGTAAAAACTGTGCCAACTTCCAGAGAACCTGAGTGAGGAGGGCAGGCCAGGGAGGAGACAGATCTGGCTGGGTGGCAGGATGCTGGAAAATGGGCACAGGCAGCACAAGGAGCTACTCCAGTTCCGTCATGCTCTTTGTCTGCAAAGCACTTCTCGTGGTGAACTTCCAACAAAGAAAAACTGACAGAGCAAATCTACGACCTTCTAGGGCGGGTGAAGGGAACAGTGGGTGTGAAAGTGCCGGGGCCACACCAGGCAGTCAGGGAAGATGCCCTGAGTTGATGAGTCAGTGCAAAGCAGCACCAACACATGCCACTAAAACAGACAGCTAAAAGGGTTTGCCTCTGGGTGGGGATTATGTTTTTAAAAAGTGATGTGTACGTTCATCACTTTGGTAAACTTTTAAAATTTTATTTTAAACACAACTAAAATAAGTAAGGCCAATGCCACGATCATCACTTGAAGAAAAATGACATTAAGTGTTTGGAACGTGCAGGGGACGCTGCGTTTGAAGGAAGGCCTGGGCTCCCGCTGTGCCCAGGCTGGGCACACAGATGCACAGGAAGCACCTGCTGATGTGACTGAAAAAGGAAGCAGAGAGGACATGCCCTGAGGAGGGCACACCATTCATGCTTAAGAAAGGTTCCCCTGCCGGACACGGGGGCTCACACCTGGAATCCCAGCATTTCGGAGGCCAAGGTGGGAGGATCACTTGAGGCCAGGAGTTCAAGACCAGCCTGGGCAACATAGTGAGACCTCCTTGTCTCTATGAAAAAATAAAAATAAAGAAAATAAAGGTTCCTTGGCATTTCCAGAGAAAAAGAGTTAGATGTGAGGAAAACAAGGCCCAATTCCTGTAACATAGATCCTCTGTTAAATATGATACACATTTGGAGTCACCTAATTATATACATTAAAACTCTAATTTATGACACCATAAAACCTCTTGGTATTCTAGACCTTGTACTTTGGAAGTAGTCAGTAGATGTATGAATATCTTTAGGATGATGAGATTTAAGAATTTTTCCGGGTTCCCCCAATTTTTTGTACCTGCAAGCAAAGCCCATTAGAGAATCAAAAGCTAATCCAAGGCTAGCAACCCTGCGTCACTGCAGGACAGTGCGGAGTGCTGGTCTGAGGCGGGGTTAGGGCGGCAGAGTGGTCTCCCCTCTCAGTGTCTCCTCCCTCAGGACCAGAATGCTGCTCGGAAAATAGAGTCATGAAGGAGACTTGAGAGAGAGCTAACCAACTCATAAGGCGGGATCTTCAAGTCCGTTTTCATCTATGAAGGATGCACACTGACACCCACAGCGGGCTCTGCCGGGATGGGGCTGGCCCGCAGGGAGCCCGGGGCCAGGGGGAAGGAGGAAGGGCTCAGAGAAGCACGGAGCATGACGGGAGGGGTGCTGATGCGTGGCCTGGGAGGCAGCGTGTCACCTCCTCCCGTAGGTGGGCATCACTGGCCCACAGGGGGCCCGAGCCATGCGGTGGCCAATCTGACCCACATGTTCTGGAGGAGCCTGTTCAATGCCCAGCTCTCCTACAAAATTCCTTCTTGAACCCCTTCAGCAGGAAATAATTTTTTCTTTTTCTGATTTAACTTACACTGCTCACTATACATTCATGTGCAGCTATCTCAATTCTATGTAGACGGTAAATCCTGTGGGGTCAGCACTGCTCACCCACATGTCTGCCTTTCTGTTCACGGCACAAGTTTTATGTCCTTCCCCCAGGCTTCCAACACACTCAGTTACCAGCAACTAACTGATGAGTGACACTCAGATTTTTACTGACAGTAATTACAATAACTAATAAATCCATTTGTAGTAAGGAAACTGATGGGCTCCTGCCTGAGGTTGAAGTGGTGTAAGTGACTGTCAACATAATACCAGAAAGTATGTGTGTATGAACAGCTGCATCCAGGTGCTGGGTACCCAAGGCGTCCGTGACGTCATCCTTTCTGCTTTGCTACCTGAGATTCTGCATACTAAGACTTAAGAAAATGATGGACACGTTGTGGATTCATCACTGATCAACTGTTTGTGTTGTTGGTGAGACAGAACCAGTCCACTGAGTCTTAATGTTCTAAATACCTGAATTTGGGTTGATCCCATACAACAAGTCGAGGGCAGTTGATAAATGAAAGCGCAGTTCTGGGAGAAAGAAGGAAACATTTTATTCAGCTGTCACGACCTTGGCTACATGCCCTCCGAAACCACATCCACTCAAGTATATTTTAAATTAGAAAATAAGTCTGAAGTAGAGGGAGTTAGACATTCTGTCTTCAAACGGGTAGGTAGAAAGAATGGCAGACACATAGGACGGGGTCAGTCTGGGGAGATGGCTTCGAATCAGCGTGGAGCAACAGCCCCATCTCGCCCACATCTCTCCAAACCCAACAAAAAAGGTCCTGGAGAGGACTTGGTTTACCTGCTCCTTCAACCCAAACGCCTCAGCTGTAAGACCTGCATAAACACAAAATTTAGGCTTTTCTCTGAATCAGAGGTGTGATAATGGCCTGTCCAAGCAGCAGGCCACATCCCATTTTGGTCTGGACCTTTATGTAGATTAAAACAAATACCTATGCATTTTTAATGAAAGTGCTTTTTAAAAAGTGTCCTGGCTAAGTGGGTAGAAACAATTAGAGGGTCTATGCATTTTCCCACCTCCAGGGATGCTTTAAGGCAGCTCAAGTAGGGAAGAGCAAAAATGGAGAGGTAGGATTCAAAAAAAAAAAGTTTCATGGATGCTAAAGGAGTATCTCCTTGAATCCTCCTGGGTCTCACACGCGAGGTGGAACGGGTATTCCCGGCTCATGTTCGCAGTCCGGCCAGGGGAAGTGAGCCACCTGAGCGCACTTTAATCAGGAACGTCCACTGATGCTGACTTCCGACCCCTTCTCCAGGGTCTGGGGTGGGGGTGGGGTGCGGGGGTGGAGGTGGTGAACGCCTGCCTCTTTTCATGCATATTAAAACCACTTCCCCTTAATAAACACAAGATATGTTTTTCAGAGTCAGAAAGACTTCTAAAGTTATGGGCTGCAGATACAGACGAGGAAAGAACATATGCAGGGCTTGCCAAACTGCGAGGCAATCAGAAGGATGGAAAAAGGGCTGTAAACTAAACTCGAGATTTCAGGGAGTCTCCTAATTCCACATACCCTCCCTGCTTTCTGGCTGCTAAGGCTACAGAAATCCCCTGTGCAAAGTGGTGAAGAAAAAAGGCACGGCAAGATAAGGCACCCCAAAATAAGAACAAGCCACAGTGCTGATTTCTGCATCTGTCTCCCTGGAGCACCGGCCATTGATGTGCAGGGGCTGGGTTCACCGGAGGCCCACAGATCACTGGGAGATGTTCTAGTGAAATTGTCAAGTGCCTCCTGCTTCCCGTCTCCATCTCACTTATTACATGACTGCTGTAGCAGTTTTTCTCAATTCTACTCTCCTCAACACAGCCATCGAACTAGGATTGCTGAAGCCACAGCTCCACAGGAAAATCATTCGCTGTGTCCTGAGACTGCTCCTGAATGGGAGTGCTGCTCTTCCACGCCACACAGAAGGCCACGGGGTAGAGATTATTCAGAGACGTCAATAAAATTAAGGATTCGTTATTTCTGACCTTGAC